TTTAGAAAAGATCAGATCACACAAATTATAACGGTACTTGATATACCGGAAAGCCGCGTTGGTGCAAAACTGGTAGATATTTACAGAAAAAATGAAACCCCAGCCGAAGCTTATGCGCATTTAGAACTATTAAAACTATCTAAAGAGCATTACAGAAAAACCGGGACCGGAAGACCAACCAAAAAAGACAGAAGAGATATCGACGAATACGGGAATGATATTATTGATGAAGAGGAAACGGAATAAATTCCAATATTAAAAAACCAAATTCCAAAACTCAACGAACATTTAAATTCCAATTTTTATCCCGAAGCTTCGGACCCAAATTGCAAAATAATGGGATAATGCAGTCTCAAAAGTAAAACCTTTAAATTCCAAAAAAGATCCAAATCAAAACCTCAACATTGGAATTTGGAATTTTAAAAATTTGGAATTTCCTTTTCTATTATTGGAATTTAAAATTTGTAATTTAGCAAAAAAAATAAATCATGAGCAAAAACATCATCTTAACAAATCAGGAAATCGAACATAAAATAAAACGTATTGCTTACCAGATATACGAAACTTTTGTTGACGAAGAAGAAGTTGTAATTGCTGGAATCGCTTCTAACGGATCTATTTTTGCTCAAAAAATTGCTTTAGCCCTAAGTACGATTTCGACACTTAAGGTTTCTCTCTGCGAAGTTAAAGTCGACAAACAAAATCCGCAATTGCCTATTCAGACTTCTTTAACTAAAGAAGAATACGAAAACAAAGGATTGGTACTTGTAGATGACGTTTTAAATTCAGGCACTACTTTAATTTATGCTGTTCGTCATTTCTTAGACGTTCCGCTAAAGAAATTCAAAACAGCAGTGCTTGTAGATCGAAATCACAAAAAATATCCTGTAAAGGCCGATTTTAAAGGAATCTCTTTATCGACCTCTTTATTAGAGCATGTTCAGGTTGTTTTTGATGACAACGGCGACAATTATGCTTTTTTAAGCTAAGATTTCCAGAATATCCTGAACGGTTTCATCGACAGCTTTATCATCAACCGAAACTTTATGTTGTGCATAGTTGTAATAATAGCTTCTGTCGAACAAATGCTTTGCGATAAATTCTCTCATTTCCTCTTCATTCATATTAGCGATTAACGGGCGCTTACTTTTGTTATGAATTAATCTATTGTATAAAGTGTCTATTGAAGCCTTTAAATAAATCGAGGTAACATCGTCTCTTTTTAATAATTCATGGTTATTGGCATAACAAGGCGTTCCTCCGCCTAAACCTATAATGCTGTTTTCCGAAGATTGAAGTAATTCCAGAAACATTTCGTGTTCTAATTTCCTAAAATGGATCTCTCCAAATTGCTCGAAAATCTCATTTATAGATAAATTTGCTTTATTTTCGATACATTTATCTAAATCCAGAAATGGAATATTTGTAATTTTTGACAAGTTTTGGGCAATTGTTGACTTTCCGCAACCCATATATCCTAATAATATAATCTTTTTCATTTTAATAAGAACCTAAAAATTAAGGTGTTGTAAATTTTGATAAAAAAAGACAAATTTATAATAAATAAGCTTGCAAATATCAAAAATAACTCCTTATATTTGCACCCGCATTCAAGGAAAGAATATGACTCGATAGCTCAGTTGGTAGAGCACATCACTTTTAATGATGGGGTCCTGGGTTCGAGCCCCAGTCGGGTCACAAAATTTGTGATTTACAAATACTTTCTGTATTAGCATGACTCG